CCTTGCCAGCCTTGCCAGCCTGCCAGCCTGCCAGCCTGCCAGCCTGCCAGCCTGCCAGCCTGCCAGCCTGCCAGCCTGCCAGCCTGCCAGCCTGCCAGCTTGCCAGCCTGCCAGCCTGCCAGCCTGCCAGCCTGCCAGCCTGCCAGCCTGCCAGCCTGCCAGCCTGCCAGCCTGCCAGCCTGCCAGCCTGCCAGCCTGCCAGCCTGCCAGCCTGCCAGCCTGCCAGCCTTCCAGCCTGCCAGCCTGCCAGCCTGCCAGCCTGTAAGCCTTGCCATTCTTGCCAACCTGACAGCCTTGTCAGCATTGCCAGCCTTGACAGCCTTGCCAGCCTTGCCAGCCTGCCAGCCTGCCAGCCTGCCAGCCTGCCAGCCTGCCAGCCTGCCAGCCTGCCAGCCTGCCAGCCTGCCAGCCTGCCAGCCTGCCAGCCTGCCAGCCTGCCAGCCTGCCAGCCTGCCAGCCTGCCAGCCTGCCAGCCTGCCAGCCTGCCAGCCTGCCAGCCTGCCAGGGTGTCACTTGGGACTATAACTACTACTTAGGCTGTATGGATATCAGAGAAAGCTAGACATAGTTTAGGTCATGTCACTATCATTATATCAGTTGATATGGTGGATTGAAGGTGCTTCATGGGTTGGGGCATGTGTAGGTAAACCGTATTTCCCTTTGCGACCAAAATGTGTGTGAGTCCTTTGGTGTGTTAATATTTTGATTACACCGCAATCAGGTAGCATACTTTCTCATTCCATATGTACTAGGGAGTCTGAAGACACAGTCTGTTTATTGTTTCCGATTTATATTGTTCATATCCAAGTAAGTTGGAGATTTTAGTTAGGGTATATATACAATATATACTATATATATATACCCTATCTAAACCCTCCAACTTACAATAACTACTATATATACTACTTAACTATTATATATTCCCTAACTACTCTCCAACTTACTTGGGTATATATATATTCTATATATACTATAACTACTTTAGGCTGTATATGGATATCAGAGGAAGCTAAGCAGAGTTTGGGTCATGTTACTATCATTATATCAATTGATAGGTTGGATTGAAGGTGCTTCATGGATTGGGGCATGTGTAGGTAAACTGTATTCCCTTTGCAGCCAAAATGTGTGAGAGTCCTTTGGTGTGTTAATATTTGATTACACCGCAATCAGGTAGCATACTTTCTCATTCCATATGAACTAGGGAGTCTGAAGACACAGTCTGTTTATTGTTTCCGATTTATGTTGTTCATATCCAAGTAAGTTGGAGGGTTTAGTTAGGGTATATATATACTATATATACTATTACCTATACCCTAACTAAATTCTCCAACTTACTTGGGTATATATATATTCTATAACTACTACTTAGGCTGTGTGGATATCAGAGGAAGCTCAGCAGAGTTTGGGTCATGTTACTCTCATTATATCAGTTAATATGTTGGATTGAAGGTGCTTCATGGATTGGGGCATGTGTAGGTAAACTGTATTTCCCTTTGCAGCCAAAATGTGTGAGAGTCCTTTGGTGTGTTAATATTTGATTACACCGCAACCAGGTAGCATACTTTCTCATTCCATATGAACTAGGGAGTCTGAAGACACAGTCTGTTTATTGTTTCCGATTTATGTTGTTCATATCCAAGTAAGTTGGAGGGTTTAGTTAGGGTATATATATACTATATATACTATTACCTATACCCTAACTAAATTCTCCAACTTACTTGGGTATATATATATTCTATAACTACTACTTAGGCTGTGTGGATATCAGAGGAAGCTAAGCAGAGTTTTGGTCATGTTACTATCATTATATCAATTGATAGGTTGGATTGAAGGTGATTCATGGATTGGGGCATGTGTAGGTAAACTGTATTACACACCCACACACCCTCCCACCCACTTACCCACCCATCCACTTACCCACCCATGCACTTACCCACCCACCCAC